CCAGCGACGCAAATGCGCATCTGATACCGGCCCTGAATGCAGCGGCCGCAGCCAGGGGAAGAGCTAACAATGCACCCGGCTTGGCCGGGAGTGCAAGCGGCACGAGGCCCTCCGCCAGTGATGGGGATGGTTCCAGGAAAAGCTCCCGCCAGTGCAAGTCGAAAAGAAATATAGCAATGATGCTCATGTCAGATATGACTGACAGTGAATCGGATGCTTCGGAAATGCAGATACAATTTTCCGGAAACCGGGAACACTGTGATCACGACTATAGGTTTACTAATGCGGTTGCAGCTAAACCGATGACTAGGAGTCGATACAATCGATTACCCAAAAAGAGAAGGATCAATCAGCGGCCGCATACGATTGGAACGGCGAACGGTCGATACTTGAATATTGCTGCGGGTCGAATAGTAAAATTGGTAACCCAGTGAATTTCATCGAGAATTCTTGCAGGGTTATACGATATACTGAGAAAGACGAGATGAGAACTAACGAGGGCCCAAAGCACTTACGGATAGTAGAGAATTCATAGGGAAAACACATGTCGCTCTGGGGATCGATCCCATGTGCTGGAGTTCCCCCTGGCAGCACGTTAATGAAGCCCACTATTTCCGTGGGGGTGACCACGGATCCCTCCGTGGGCTCCGAGGAAACAAACCTTCGATGCCTGTTTTGGAATTCCAGAGAAAATTCCCCTACTGTCGCTGATGCGGAGGATTTGTTCGCATAGAGTGGCCCAGTCAACGTCAGTATTTGAGAGGCCCTCAGGTGAAAGCTTTTGTGAGAGAAGATAGGGGCTTGCAGAAGACAGCGTTGCGTGGATGTGCATGCGGACTAAGAGATAGAAAGGGTTGGTTTCATAAGAAGCAATTGGCGATTGCATCCACGTCTGACGCACAGACTAAAGGCTTGGGGCGAAAGTGCGACGGCACGCGTGCACGCGTTGAAGCGCGAGGTAAAGACTGCCAGCTTGCTGAGGACTACACCGATGAATTAGCTAAGCAGATTCATGTTGTGTTTGCGCGCGGCATCGCACGCCTCCCATGATCTTACTTCCCCCCCCCCATGATCCATGTGCCGCTGCCGTTTCCTTTCATGAGAAGGGGCGGGCCCACCATCGGCCGCGCCCCCCACCGGCGGCGTCGCCGCGTGGCCGCGGCCGCCCCCCCTCGCAGGCAGCGGATCTAGGTCCATGGCCTTCCGGTCGCACGCCGATCCCGGCCGACGTTTTCCTGGCATCTCGGCGGTGCAACCGCCCGAGATGGCCCGGAATCTGTGTGCAAAACATTAGGATGTAGCTACCTCGCGGGGATCAAGTGGACACAGCCCAAGAAGACCCCAGCAGTTGAGGAAGAGTCGGCCAGTGAACCGCCGAAGAAATCGATGACGGCACAGCCGAGGGAAAGCTATGATAACATAGATTGGTCTGATCATTGCTGCAAGACCTGCTGGGAAAACTCCAGAAGGCGATGCAGCGGATAATTTCCACGATGAGGGATGCCGCGCGCAAGCATTTCTTCCGAAAGATCCGTCTCGAGTAGCGGAACAGTTTGCCGAATAGATAGGGCCGATCGGCTCCCGAACGGCCAAGCCGCTAGGGCAGCTCAAGGTCCCAGCTACATGCGCAACATTGCGTTACCCTGCGATAGATACATCGGAGATGATTTTGCACGGAGCGGACAGATGTTGAACTGAAATACACAAACTTGTTTGAAGAAGGGACGGATTTTTTCTGTTGCGAACAACCCCAACAAATTGCACATGGACGTTGGATGCAGCAGGTTATCATGACTCGGAGCGATCACACATCTACTCGAACAAATCACATCGCCAGCAAGCTCAATGAGGACTTGAAGGCGTGCAACGAGCCAGTCGTTCAAATATTGTACAAGCAGATGTCCGAGGATCAGTGGGCCGTTTTCTGGGCCGCCTGCCGAACGGACTCGCAACGTCAGTTTAAAAGCAATTTTGATGCCCCCCCCCCCCCCCCGGATCTCGCATACATTATAGCATGGCAGTACTTCCAATCCCATGTTGATCCAAGCACGACTTGGAGGTGCAATTTCTATACTGGACCGCCAGGAGATTCAAAGGGTAGATTTGCACGAGGAGGCCCTGGCGGGGTACCGAGCGTGGAAGGACTTGCAGGACAAGCCCTTGCCCAAGAGGGCTAGACTCCGCTCGGCGGCGCAGCCGACGAGCAGGGATGACCGCCTTCGAAAGAGGACCACCGCCCAATAGAAGAGGAAAACATTCCGCAGAAGCGAGTGAGCGACATTGAGGGACCGAGGCCGGCCAAGACTGCCAAGGTCGAGAAAGTCGCCGACGCTGAGAAAAGGATGCCTTCTTCGGACGCTTCAACAAGTTGCCCTGATGGGCCCTTGCAGGCCCCGGCAGGAGGCGCTTCTTCATCCTCGTGTGCCTCTCGCAGTGCTGTTGGCTTTAATGCTGCTTCCATCTTCCGTTCCGCTGGCTCAGCCGGGGGTTTGGGGACGTCCTCTGGAACAGGCAACGGCGGCGGAAATGCTGGGCTGATTCCCGGCGCGCCGGGTGGGGGCGGAGACAGTGGCTCCCTCCGGGCCTGGGCCCTCCGCCACCCCCAACTTTGCGCGGGGCCGGCGCAGAATCTGACCCACTTTACTTGGCACGTGGGATCTGGAATGCGTTACATCATAGAGCGCAGACAGGGGCCGGCGCAGCCGCGCCCCCTGGAGGATGCCGACATCTCAGAGGAATGGACTCGTTGCATCATTGAGATATCTATTATGTATATCGACGTGGTAGGTCCCTCCCCAACCATTCCATCGATTCAAGCGTTTACGGACAACTGGACTCGAGCCAATAATCTTTCTACATCGAATCAAGTAGGAGATAGATTTCCGGGTGATTGCTGAATTCATCAACGGCCCAGCCGTCTTGATGAAGCAATAACATCTCGTGAAGAAAGCGCCGAAATGTCGAGAGGCGAATCAGACGACAGCAAGGTCCAGCGTCAAAAGATGAGCATTCCGACACGAATGCCCCCATGTTGGCGTGGCTCTGATTTCCATCTCTGCTTGCATGTCATATGCAAGACGCAATGTTAGGGGGTGTGGCCGGCAGGGAATTATCAGGGTTGCGATGCAAATCACCCTTGAATATTTGACTTCGCCAGTAGTCTCGGCGCCATTGGACACTGACGTGACTCGCGAAGTGCCGCGTGAGTTGTCTGAGCTTGCGGAAAGAATTTGGGCTGAACCCGTTGACCGAATCCCCACTCATAAGCGATGGGGGCAAATCTTGTAAGCTGTACGAGAAGTTATATACTTATTCGTGGCAAAGCGGCTTTAACTGGCATTTCCGGGATTCGAAGCACGAGGAACCTCTAGTAATGCCGACATTGCCAGTGAAGCCATGAGTGATGCATGCGCCTTGGACAGTCGGATTAGGTCCGCGATTGTTTCATACTATCTGCTTCATAAGTGGGCCAATGGATTAGGAAACGATGTTTCGTGCGCTGTCAGGCACACTTGCACAAGCATTCAGAATTCGATTGTTTTCATGCAGTCGTCTACAGACAACCCTTTCAATGCCAAGGTTCGTGTGTCAATCAGTCGTTCTGGATTCTTCCACGCCGACAGTGCTATTGGTCTTTCCAATTGTCTCAAGAAGCCAAAGGAGGAGAGCTGCTCAGCTGACTCCCCCACGGAGACTCTACAGCCCGCCGCAAATGCTGCAGTTGCGGCAGTGGAAGCCAAAGCCCCGAGCGGCTCTGCCGGCTCTGGGCCGAAAGTCCAGCGGCATCCTCGAACATCATCGAAATCGAGGGCAAATTGGACAGAGAGGCGTACCTATAGGGCTGCCCCTTATAACCCTGTGCCCACCGGCTCAGCCGCGTCGGGCAGCAATGCCGGCTGGATCGATGCAGATCGGGCACGGACATGGGCTGATGAACCCATTGCCGAAGTAGACGGACGCGCGAGCAACGGCTGGGACGCGACGCAGGACCAGGCGGACAAGAACGATCATGGGGATGTTCAAGGATATCATGTCCATGTGACTCGCCATCGGTATGTCGCAGATCATGCCACAACTTGGCACTTGTTTGGTTTGAACGAGTACAACGACAAGTTCCATCGTGATCGCACCATGCCGGGGCCTCCGCCACCACCCACGCCGAAGGAGGGGGCAGTTGTCAAGGGCCAGGGCAAGGACAAGTCAGACAGCTGGAATCCAAGCAGAAGAAGAGACAGATATGAAGATGTCCAAGAGATCAGTGCCAGTGGAACTGGCGCAACAGCGATGCCTGGGATGATTCTCGAAGTTGGAGAAATGGCTGGCAGAGGTAATACTGTTCAAGAAGGACCTCTACGACTTCGTCGATACCGGTCCGACGTTCATCCTGAAGCGGGCGCACCAGGTGCGCATGGGCATTGTGGCCTGAGCTGCCAAAATATTAGCTCAGGCGGGGTTCGTCGGGTTGTTTCGGTTTTCCGCCCCCTGGCAACCACAGTCGAGCGGTAAAAGTGTTTTTGGGGTTCGCTCCTGTGGCTGTACATCTGTGCAGGCCAGGTGGGTTGGGGTGTCGGGGCGACTCTACGCATCCCGCAGCGGGGGGAGTCAATGCACTCCTTCCGCACCGCCACTCTGCTGCCCGTCCTGCTCCCTTGCCTTGCTTGTGCTGTCTGTCTCAGTTGCGACTTGGATGTTGTTACCTGCAGCTGTTTGGCTCTAGGGAAACAGAAAAAGGAGCGAGCCTGCGGCGCGAGCGCGTGCGTCGGCCCGTGGGCCGGCCTCCTCTTTTCAGGGTGACCATATTGCTAGTTTAGCAGCATTCTCCTTTCTTCCCATGTCATCAGCGAAGCCCACTGATCATGATGTATCAACAGAACATTTTGCAGGAAATATGAATACTCAGGCAAAAAACTCGATGATCCATGTCTTCGAAAAAGGCTCCCGGGCGAATGCGTGCAATGCCCGCCCCTGGGCTGTTCGCCCCTGTCGTCGCCGCCGAACGCCGGCCCATTCGCTTCCGCGAGGTGAGGCTGTCCCGCCCCGTCTCGCCCCAGCAGCGCCGACTGCGCTGTCGGCGGCGGGGTATGCGGGGGGCATGCGGGGGCGCCGCGCGCGCCACGCCGGCGAGAGGCCGCAGGAAGGCAACTCGGGGCAGCATGCTGGCGAGTGGCACGGGTCGATCCGCACGGAGCACCCTTGAGGATTTGTGTCGAAGATTTTTGGGGCCCGAGCGGGCGCTTGGCGTTCGCATAGGGCGCGGCAAGCCTTCGACAGGGAGAGAGAACCACGACATCCATCCCTGCACGGTGGAGCTGTGATGTTTCCTTTTGCTTCCCCCATGTTGCTTCTTCGCGATGAAAGGGTCGTGCATGTGTCCGAATTCCCAAGTCTGTTCACCAATCTGGGCGGTCGGCTCGCAGATTGATGGGTTACCCATGCCCATTGCCGCGGGCCCATCGCTGTTGATTGTTCTATATGTCCCACCCATTTGTCGGTGATTCGGGAAGCACGTCGCCTTGTTTGCTGGGGTGGAGCCTCGGCGAGAGCGACGCTGCTGTGGGGGCGATCGATTCCTTGCGCGCATGGACGCAGTTCCACCCCACATATATACATACGACTGACCTTCCTTGATGACGGGCATAGGTCGGCTCGCGGAGCCACGGTGGGATAAACAAGAACAAGACAACATCGCAATTGGTCGTGGAGCATTCTTTGGGGGGATGCGACTCCCAACATGCCCCCATAACCTTCGGGAAGCCTCCAGGACGTTTTCAAGAGGCCCCCAGCCCCCAGAGGCTCCCGAGAGACCTTGAAAACGCCCCCCTTGTTCTCCAAGAGACGCCCACGAGGCCCCCAGAGGCACCCTATGTGTTTCCAGGAGGCTCCCAGGAGGCCTCCCAACAGGCCCCCAGAAGCGTATGAGACGTTTTGCATCTACATCCTGCGCTCCGTTCCCGGAGAGGCTTCCGGAGGCCCCCAACACACGATGCATCTCAGGGCTGCGATGGGGGCCCTCAGAAACACGCAACGAGGCCCTGAGAGGCACGGCTTGGGGGCCAAGGTTTTCCTGGGGCCATCTTGGAGGCCTCTTGGGCTGTTTTTGGGCGATCGGAAACCCCAACAGGCGAGAACTTCAAACCTTGCGAGAAAAACTATCGGAAAGAAAACTATGGCTTGGGTTTCCTCGGGCTCTCCAGGAGGGCCTCTTGGAGCTCTCTTGGGACGTTTGCTTCTTGAGTCGTCTTGAGGCCGTCTTGGGAGCCTCCTCAGCAGTCGTTGGCCATCGTGAGCTGTCTTGGTATCATCCTGGCTGCTTTGGAAGCCATTCGTCTTGGATGCTGGCTTGGCCGTCTGGAGGCCGAAGAGAGCGACGAACAACAGATTTAGGGGGGGCGATCACTTAACAAAAACCAGATGGAGATGAACATTCTAACATGCCCCGACGGGCATAATGTCCAGTGGCGGATACGTATCCTTCTCGGTCATCCCTTCTTTCCGTCCGTAGTCGGTGTTCGGTAATCATATCCTGTGACGTTCGGATCCCCATCATTTCGCATATGTTTTTGTGCGTGCCAATGTTTCTCTGCTGTGCCCCCCCACCCACCCACCCACGCTGCCCCACACCGCCTCCAGGATTTGACAGAACATCACTGGGACTCCTTAGCCGTTCTTGCTCTAAGCCTTCGCAGCTCGCTGCGCCCCCACAGCGAGGGCGCCGGGCAGCCAGATACATTGCCCGCCATGGCAGCGGCGCCGTGCGGGCGGACGTGGCAGGTGCGTCGCGTGGTGCCCGTGACATTCACGGGCCAGGTGCTCAAGAAGCGGCCTGTTTGGTCCGACGGAGAGCTGCGCATCGCAGACGGCAGCGCCCTGCTGGTTGGCGCCGTCGGGCAGGAATTGGACAGGGTCACAGTGACTTGGGGGCTCTTGGAGAGGCTAAACGCTGGCCAGGAGCTGATCTTCGAGCGCTTCAGGGTGCAGCCGGAGCAGGGGCCAGAGGACGACTGCGCTCTGCCAGAAGCTCCCCAGTTCCAGCGCGGCAAGCGCCCCCGCGGCTTGTTGCTGCCGGAGGTTGGGAGAGGCGAGTCGCCGGCGGCGGCGAGGCCACAGGGGCCGCAGCCAGCGCCTGCCTTGGCGCTGGACCCGAGGCCGTTGGGCGTTGACCTGTGGGAGGCGTGCCGCGCCGACGAGATGCGGGCGCAGGACCTGGCGCAGCCCGCCGGCGACCTTTGGGCGGCCTGCGCCGAGGCCGAGCGGCTCGCGGCGAGGCTCTGCCGTAGGTGGTCGTCGGGGCCCGCGTGACGCCGGCCTCCGAGCGCGGAGCCGCGGGCCGGCGGCCGCTTGCTTGCGCGGGGGCGCGCCAAGCGGCCGAGTGGTGTAGGGCCCCTGAACCGGCCGCCCCCGGGGTAGAATTCGGATGGGTGTGAGGAGCATGTGCGTGAACAAAGCTGGGCGACGAGGACACAGGTGAGGAGGAGCAGCGTCTACGTCTCAGCCAGAACGACTTGCGAGGCGCAGAGGGCCATCCAGTTGCCTGCGACAAGTCCCGCCACCGTGCCGGTCCGGCACCTCGGGTGGCGACCCTGCTCGGGGGGCCGCACCCGAGGTCGTAACGTGTGACACCTCGTGTCCCCAGGCTTCGGAGAGCTGCAACATCTGACACACTGTTGTTCCACGTCGTGTCGGGGGTGCTCTTCTCGTCTTCGCCGTCATCCCTTTCTCGGGCCACCAGGGCAGTCTTGGGGATCCCCTGGGCAACTTGTGGCTGCCTTGGGGCTGTCTTTAGGCCCTCGTGGCCGTCTTGGGATCTCTTGTGGCCGTCGTGGGGCAGCCGTTGGGCCGCCGAAGGCCTTCCGAAGGCCGGCTTGACACCCTCAAGAGATCCACTTGGGGCCAGCTTGGGGTTCTCGTGGTGCCGTTTGATCTAAGAAAATATGTGGGCCGTCCCTCTTGGGCTGTCTTGAGGCCATATTGGAGGACTATTTGGCCATAAGGGTACTTTATCGGGCCGTCTTGGGGCCATCTTGACGGCCTTTGGGGCCGTCCGGAGCTGCAGGAAGCCTGGAACGGGAAAGACGCCCACATTTGTGGGAAACCGTGAGAACATCTGTGAGTTGGATTTCTTCGGGCCCTATTGGGGGTCCTCTTGTGGGCCTCTTGGGCCGTCTTGTGGGCATCTTGGAGCTATTTTGGAGGCATTTTGGACCTTCTTGGTTTTCTTGGTGGCCTACCGCGACCGTCTTGTAAGCTCGAGATCGCGGATCCATTGTTTGTTTACGTGGGATCGTTGCTTCGCGAGCTCGGATCCATTCATTTCGTACGAGGGATCGTGGCCCTGACCCCGAGAAGGTCACAGGAGCCATGCCAGACAGTCTGTACCACGCCTCAACGTCCTAGGGGGCATGGTGGCGGATGTTTTCGGCTTGCGGTGTTCGACGGTGCATTCTTCGACTGTCCGCGACGTGACGTTCATCCTTGGTGGGCTTTTCTCGAGCAGTGCTTCCACTTAGACGTAATCTCTGTTGAGCACTCAGGAACTGGGCAGAATGTGCCGCGGAGATTTCGTAGCGGCCACGGAGTCCCGCCCAGGCGTTTCGGACCACGTGCCGCAGGTGTTTTTTTGTGCTTCCACAGAGTGCCGCTCATACGTTGCGCAGCTTGCTTTGTCGGCGGCAACTTGGAGCCAAGACGGGGTCAAAACATGGCGTGGGACACGCGGCAGGCGAATGCGGCACAAGGGTTATGATGTTCCAGCCCATTTCAGCCTTGATCACCAGCAATAATTTCGAGCACCAAGAAAGTACCGAAACCGGAGTGTTTTCACGCGTCGGGCCCTCGGAGGCGATGCTCATTCGACGGTGCTTCGATACTTTTTTGGGTGCTCGAAGTCACTTGCGGGATGTGGTCCGAACAAGTATCGTAAGTGAGTGCGGTAAAAAGACCCGTGCTTGTTTGTCACGCCTGATTTTTATCACGCCTGCTTTTGATCACACTCGCTTTTTTCATCGCACAAGGGCGATTGTAACACATGGCACACCGGAAGAGGGCAGAGAGGAGGGAGGCGCGCGTGGAGCGGAGGCCGCGCTCGGAGCCCGTAGTCCGTGCGCGTGTGCGGGTGCCGGGGGAGTGCACGGCGAAGCGCAGGGGGCGTGCACCGCGAGGCGGAAGGCCACGCGAGGCTGAAGTCGGGCGTGCCCCTCTGCGGAGGGGACGATTCACTAAACATCGTAGAACAAGACAGTCGGGGGACGATGCTTCGATTCCGATTTCGAGTACGTTTCAAATCTTCTGCAGCTTTCGCCCAGCATCCGCCTTGTAGAGGGGGGGGACGTGCCCGACGCAGCACGAGGCCAGGGCGCGGAGGCTGGGGCCGAGGCCGCGGGGCGCAGGAGGACAGCCGGGGACAGTCCGGAAGCAGGCCAAGGGAACATCTCCGCACGTGCCGTCGCGGAGAACAGTCAGGAGGGGAAGAAACTCACAGACTCAATTAATCGTCGATTCCCCAGAAAATATAGGAAAATATGGGAAGTGGGGGCGAAGACAGAAACCCAGAAAATATGGGGAAACATGGGGAATATTTCTATTTGTGTGTATTTATTTTTGTGTCCCAGGGCCCCTTCAAACAGGTGGAGCTCAACTCCGCGGGCGCAAGGGCAGAGCCACCATACAGTCAACCCGCATAGTAAGGATGGGCAACCTTCCTCAGGGTACCCTTGCATCCTTGCCTCCCCGGTCCATCCTTGGCCGGTTTCGTTGGTTGCGCCGTGCTCGGGAAGCTTCGAGATGGCCCTCCAAGGCCCTTGCATCCTTCTTCCGCATCCTTCCGATACGGGTTGACTGTGCCACGGCACCGAGCAGTGACCACCAGGGTCGGCAGAGGCTGGTGCTGTGAAGCAGGCGCGAGGCCGCCCAAGGCGGGACCCATGAAGAATGACGCCGGGGAGCGTTTGCGCTCTCCCCTCGATCGCTTTGCTTCGGGCTCCGGCAATTCTCGCGGAGTGCGGTTTCCCTCGTTGTGCCTCCACTCCTCGCTCAATCCCGTAGACTCGCGTGATGTACGTCGTGTTCTGCCTTGAGAGGCACCAAACATGATTGCAGAGGTCCAGGATGAGAGCTGCTTTGGTTTGCCGTGTGATCGGGACGTAGTGCATTCTCAAAAGCAGCAAAAGCATTCCCAAGAACTTGCGCACGCGAGAAATGACACCGGGGAGCCATGAACAAGAGCATGGCTCATGGCGCCAACATCGCAGAGCGGATTTCGCTTGGAAAACATGGGGGTGGGCCCGGACTGTCCTGAATAATTTCGCATCAGATTTCGGATTGAATTTCGTGAGTATTTTTTCGCCGGGAATGAAGACTAAAAGAAGTCCACGTGAAAATCACATCGTTTTTCGCTGGCTGTTTCGGAACGCTCATCGACAGAAATCAACGCACAAATCCGCTACAGCACGTGTGCAAGGCCGGTGCAGTGAAATGGTGCAGAGGAGCCCGCCAAGGCGTGGAGGTTTCGTCGAATATACACGAACTGTAGCCGGGCCGGGCGGGGACCACGCGGCGCGGCGCGGGAACAAGCGGGGGCTTCTGGACGCCAGCAGGAGCTGGCGGTGGGCGCGACAGAGCGGCCCATGGAGGAGGGTGCGAGGGCAAGGAAGAGGGAATCCAGGGGGGTTCAGGCCGCTGGCGGTGTCAGGCGGATGGGGGGCGAGGTGGGGGGCGCGGCGGGGGGTCCCGGGACGGCTTATGCAAAGTGGATGGTCCTTCGAAAATGTTGGCCACGGGGTCCAGGATGCTGGCTGGCGCGGCATGGGGCGCGGTGGGGGGCGCGGTGGGGGGTCCTGGAGCGGATGTTGCAGGGTGGGTGGTTTTGTAAGATCACATGACCAGGGGGTCCAGGATGTTGGCGGTGTCGGGCGCGGTAGGTGGCGCGGCGGGGGGTCCCGGGACGGATTCTGCAGGGTGGGTGGTCCTTAAGAACACATGGCCAAGGGGTTCAGGGCGTTGGCGGTGTCGGGCGCGGCGGGGGGACCCGGGATGAAGTGTACAGGGTGGGTGAACACATGGCAAGGGGGTTCAGGATGCCAGCGGCGTCGGGCGCGGCGAGCGGCGCGGTTGGGAGTCCCTGGGCGAATTTTGCGTGGCGGGCGCGC